TCAGGGCGATAACCACTGTAGACATTGAGGGGGGGCTAGTCCCCCCAATAATTATAAATCGCTAAACCCTTTTCTCAAATATTGCCAATTCGAGAGCGAGAGAGAGAGAGACAGAGAGAGAGAGAGATGAAAGTTGCAAGTATGCGTTTCTCTTTTTAGAGTGAGTTTACTTACTTATTGGAAAATATAATGTAGCGATTCAATATTTAAACTGTTATTAATAAAAGTCGTGGGGCAGCGTTGACAAGTTTCTTTGCTCCTGGATGTGTGAGCTGCGCGATCTCTGATATATGTGTGTGTCAGTAAGCACCGCATTAATATAGAATGGTAATTAAAGGCTCTAATGCACACCAGCACACTGTGTGTGTCAGTAAGCAGCGCATTAATATAGAATGGTAATTAACGGCTCTGATGCACACCAGCACACCAGTATAGGTGTGTGTATTGTAGAAGCTAGACGACGTATGATGACGTGTGACGGCATAGCAGTGGTGTCCCAAATCTTAGGTGAATATTTTCAATATTTTCAATATTTTAGGGGAAGGGGAAGGGGTATAAAATAGAATTGGGATTCTCAAGTGCATCATTATATTGGATCTGTGCAATCAGTTTTAAAGGGGCAGCAGCCTATAAACACCTGCTGTTCCATAAGCGCCACCTGCTGTCAGAGAGTGATATTTGCGTCTCATTCACAAAGCTAAAATCAGACCATTCTGTTTTTGCTTCAAATTTCGAAATTATACAATCTAATTGCAATCTAAATAACATGTATTTAGCATCTTTGTTTGGATCACGATTAAAATGCAGTGGTTGCCTCTGATTTTAAATGGAAAAAGCACAGCCAAAGCATTAGTTTGTTTATATGAAGATATTTATTTTATTTGTATTATTTAATTATTTGATTTGGGATTTGTTTAAAAATTTCAAGTTAGTTTTATTATTTGACATATTTCAATTTCACAAAGAAATGTGCAGCATTTTGTTGGAGAAATAATAAAAGGACACCTTTTCAGTTATAATTGGTCTTAAATCTCATTTTGTTAAGAAAAATTGTGAGAAAACTGTATTGTGAAATCAATATCGTGAGTCGTATCGCATCGTGAGTTGAGTGAATTGTTACATCCCTATATGCTACTAGTTTTTGCTGTGGTATCAAAGAAG